AAGTTGCACCTGGAAACCGACATAGACGTTGGCACGGTTGATGGTTGGGGACCACCATAGGGTGAATCGACGGTTAGGAATCTGGTTCAAACCAGAACGCTGAGCATTGGTAAGCTTCTTAAACTTCATCGACCTGAAATATTCGTTAGCAAAATGTTAACAATATAAAAGAAGGAGGGTGGTCCAACTCTTCAAATCCACTTGCTCTCTCCCAGAAGAGACCCTCCCAAGATGGAAAAGCAGTGGCCTTGAACAAGGTGTGCTCGAGAATAGTCTCAACACCACCAAGTGCTTGGATGACATCTGTGCGGTAAGCGTTCAAGTTCCAGAGTTTACCGTCATGACGTTGACTTGTCCACCAGAATGGATTGCTCTTCATCAGCTGGTACTGCTTGAACTCAGCTCTGAGACGGAAACCTTTATCGAAGCTGAGTGTGCTTCGATCCTTTTGGAAAAGAGTGTTGATACGAGGGAGACCGCGATCCCAGCTATCTTCCAAGTCCTCCAAAGTCAGGCGGCGATTCTGCTGCTGAGCTTCCATCCGCTTCTGAGAGTATTCCATCCAGACTCGCTGAGAGTCGATGAATTCGGCCTCCCATGGAATGATGTATCGGAAGATGTTAGGAATGAGGGTCTCCTCGTCATGTGACATACCCGCTCGGAAGTGAGTAATGCCGGTGTCTGTCTGCTTCGACCACCGCTTGTCACTGGCGGGAATCAAAATATGAGAACCCGAAATCATGCCCAGACCACCCAATTCCTTTGGCGTGTAGAAGACCGCAGGAGGGAAACGCGAGGGCATCTTGGAGTTCAGACCAATCTTAACGCGAGTCTGAATCTTGGTCTCACATTTGACAATCGTGTCCAAGAGATTGACGGTGGAGACAGCAGCTTCACGATAGTACGTAAAGAGCGCGATAAGAGCGGTGTTCCACTTGTTGGCAATCTTGGTGAAAGTGGTTGACCCCGAGGACATGAGGATTTGCCGGATTCGGTTGTTGAATTTCTGGATGTCCTCCTCCGTTACTTGCAAGAAAGCATGGGCTGTGCGCTCCTTGGTGGCGTTGTCTACCAGAGACCACACACTGTCCTTGACCGAGAACTCCTCATTCTGATTGCGAATCTTTGGCAGAATACGGACCTCAAATCCACACATGGAGAACAGTAGGTTCGGGTTGTCCTTGCTGTACACGCTAGCAAAGGTATCATCCCATTCAATCGTCGTAATTGACCGCGGCAGACGGTTCTTCAAATCCCAGAAGGCAGCGCGACCAAGGTTAACATCGTGTCGCATTAGGCGCATACGGCAATCACGCGGCCAGCACTTCTTGTTCTTATATCCAATAACGTTCTCGAAGTTAGGATCAGGGTTCTCTGTAAGGAAGCGCTGAATAAGATCCCTAGACTCGTCGGCGGTGAATCTGAAGAATACCCAGATCTTGTCGACATAGCGAGTGTACAAACGAATGGGATGTCTTGCCTCAGTGGCACGGTCTCTGAATTGCAAGAAGTCGTTGGGACTCTGCGGCGGACCTGCCATCTCACTGGCTCTTTGCAAACCAAGGAGCAGCAGATCAATCATAAGACCATAATACTGGAAGACGAAACCAGAGAACTGCAGACCCCTGATCAATCCGTAGCTGTTGGTATGGTTCATATCCTTGTAGCTCAGCTGCACATTGTTCTTCGAAGTGATGTAATCAGCCAAATTGTGATCCATGATCAAACGTAGCAGACGATTCAAAAGAGTAAGATCAATCTTCTCATAGACCTTGGATAACTCCGTTTCGATCATGACATTCGTCTCGCCATCGGCAGTTTCCCAGACGTTGGACAAATTATTGATTCCCTGGGCCCACTTGTAGGTCAGCAGCGGAGGGACTTCAGAATCCGAAGGTTTAATCCAAGCTGGGAAGAGATGGCGCTGCTCTGCCTGATACCAAAGGTATTGGTCCAGGTAGGCGTCCGTGATCTTCTCGATCGGCTCGACATCATAGACAGGGTTGATATTGTTGTAGTTGTCGTTCATATCGATTCCAACTTCCTTGAACGCTCTCTGAGTGAGCAGGAATCTCTTGATCCGGGCCAGCGTGGTTCCAGGAGAGTCGTATGCCTGTTCAATGAGAGCAAGTTCTTCTCGCTGGCTCTGGTTCAGTCTACCCTTCACAGAGTAGGCCTCGCGGAGGCGCTCGAGGGCGAGAATAAGAATCTTGGTGTCATGCTTGTAGGAGACACTCGGGAACGGAATGGGTGAGAACTTGCGAGACTCGAGCCAGTGCACCATGGTTGTGTAAATCGCCACCGCTTCTTCCGAAGATACGTAAGGACCATCCTTCAAGTAATTGTGCTGTCTCTCCTGCTCGGCCTTGAGCCAAAGTCGAGTTAGTCGACCAAGATTCTTCTTGGCAACAGTCTTATCCACGGTGGCACCGCGGCGGATACGTTCACGATTATAGTGTGCGACAGATATCCACCAATCGGCCTTGCTCTTCACATATCGCAAGATAATATTCTCGATAGGTGCTGGGAGCCCCGGTACCTTCCAGGGAATATTACTCTTCCAGCATCGCCAAGCTTCAGACAGATGCTGCAGAACTGTGTTGACTTTGTTCTGTTTGATACCTTCAGGCATCATGTCCATCAGATCCGCCATGACAGAAGCTCGCAGTTCAAGATCGAAGTGCGACTCGACACGCTGCTTGGTAACTGTCTTTGCAACCCCCTTGCTATGACGACCCTCAAACTGACGAGAAAGCAAGTTTCCAAGCCATCTCTCAAGAAGAGGAATGATACCGCGCATGAAAAACAGCCAAACACGCCAAGCAGGGGCCCAAAAACCGCAACCAGGACCTTTGCCCACAGGGCCAGAGTTGAACCGGTAGTAGATCAAATGCTTCAGGTCCTTGCAGGAACGGATTTGATGCATCAACTTGTACTTGTAACGATACATACCAGTCAATTGCCCAACATGGTTGAAAGCGTACAGAATGCCATCGGCCAATTGAAAAGCATCGATGTTACCCAGACGGTATTGAACTTGCGCATCGACGATTAACTTCGTAAGGCGCAGAATCTCACGCATCAAGTGAAAAGCGTTACCGAAGCGGGACTTCTTTCGCTCCTTAGTGGTCAATGTCTTAACAGGCTTCAAATTGAAGTTGTAGTCGAGATGCAGATAAGTCAGGTTCTTCCGGTGAATCAAGAGGTTGAGCATGTTGAAACCTTGGCGGCAAACCTGGAGACCAGCTTCAACCCAGTCGATTGTCGTCTGCTGGAAGAACTTGGTAGATTTCAGAGTCTTCAACAGATTTTGCTTGTTCTGGGCCTTGGGCTTCTTCTTGTGCAACTCATTGAGCACATACGTCTTGAGAAGCTTCTGATACGACACTCGGACCTTCACGGGCTGGCCCTGGGGGCAATGCTCCAGGTACCACTGTTTGACGAGTGGCACGTCCTGCGCGCGCACCATCTTCCCTGATCTCTTATTGAACGGATGAGGAGCCCACCACAGTGCGATGGCTGAGGCAGTATCAGGTGTGTACAGTTCCTCGTCAGCGAAGAAGGGCTTCACCTCCGGTGGGAGTTCAAAAAGATCGTCCTCATTGTTTCCGGGCCCAAAGATCTCATCCTCATGGCTGACTGTAATGTTCTTGGGGGCGACAGAGCGCGACGAGATGGGATTAATGACAGGGTCGAAGTAGAAAGCAGGAAGGTTAGGGTCGGTTCGGACGTAGACGACTTGAGGATGAGAATACCAGGAAACTTTCACGCTTCTCGGCAGAGTGTTATATAAGAAAGGGAAAGCGACTCTGTACTCCGTCCGAATGGGTGCTCGGAAGATGATGCGGTCGATCGCATTGAATTCACTGAAATCCTCGTCATTGGGGTCGATGTCCTTGTACAAAGGCTCAAACCGTGGGCCACCTGGGATGGCAACATTCAATGCCTTTGCCGTAAGGAAACTGTTGAGATCAAACATGTGAAAGTAATTCTGGTCGACCACATCACTGAGTAACTGATGACTTAACCGGTAGAGAGTTGCCATCTGGGGAAGAGTCAAGTTCCAGCTTTTGTAGCTTGGTCCATTGACATGGGGGGTATCAAGTAGCGGTCGGTGATCGTAGAACCACTCGTACACTGGGGCATCTTCGGATTCGTCGAGCTCCATCTGGACCGGCTCCAAGGGCTCGACGTCTTCGATATTCTCTGACCAAGATAGGGGAGGTTCCTCGTCATCGAAAGGGGGAAAGCGCATCCGCTTGAAATGTCTGCGGTCACTCTTTTCTCGCCGCATACACACCCACATTGTAGCCCACTGAGCATGGAAAACCGGTTCGATGACCCTCGGGGTCTCGTTCACGAGCGTAAGGCAACCATTCACATGGTACAGCACCTTGACCTCACGAGCCGATTCCCAAGGCATGGGCATGTTCTCCAGCAGCTTCAGCACGGCGTGAGGCATGAACTTGAGCGCGCCGAGATAGCTGCGCTTCTCATTGCTGAACTTCTTCTGCGATACGTCGCCGATATCTCTGACAATCTTCCGCAAGTGCTCTGGAGGCATGTCCGCCTTCTGTGTCTCAACGAACCCGCCTTTCCTCTTCTCTCCAAACCGATTGCGCTGCGTCCGCAGCCATTCGTTCTTCTTCTGAGCAAACTTTGCGACATTCGGATCCGCTGGGGGCTGGTATCCTGGCGGCGGCGGCGCCAAAGGCATGGAAGGAGGGGCTGCACCCCATCCGGGGGGAGGGGGAGGAGGCAACGACGCCATGGTGATGGCGATTAATGAAAGAAAAACGCTTTCGACTTAAGCCGACTCTGATAATGGAGCAAAGTCGCGTCAAACCACGTTGAGAAAAATCATCAAACTCAAGACGAAAGCACCGACGGGACTTCACAAAAACTGATGGTTATAAAGATATATTCGCGTCGGAAGGATAAAATGATAGCCCCGAAGAGAAAATCCCAACTCCCGAACAATCCCCTTCTCACAACGGTTGATGGAAGACGCTGTTCTGGCTCCTTTCTTGGTGATGGGCAAGCTTGAACAGAGGTGGCGGCTCTCCGCGGGAAGACGCTAGTCCATTTTGGTGTTAGCGCAGGCTCGCCAAATTTGCGCTAGCGCGGCCTTCCAGGGCTCCGAGCGAAACCCACACAAATCCAGATGACTTTGAGAATTCTACGAGGACAACGACGACAACCGACGACGCCGCCGCCAATCTCTTGATCACCGTTTCAGAGGTTCAAGGACAATCAAAATGGCGAACAACAGATTGCAATACGTGAGTTTTTATACTGGAATATATTTTTACTTCGATGAAATGCTGATTCCCTTTTTTCCTACAGCGGAGACGGAACCCGTACGTTTGAAATTCCCTCCCAGAAGTTCACAATCCTATGCCCTCTGCGTCGCCTTCATCATCGGCGTTGTTCGCTTTAAATTCAGTGACATAGCGCATGATATTTGGCGCGACGAGACACAACAGTTCCGAGGTTGCCCTTGAAAGCACGATATTGATAGGTTTTGTTCTACAGGTACAACACGCGGTCCAACAAGGTCCGCATCATCAAGACTCCTGGCGGCGAGCTCCGTTACCTCCACATCAAGAAGAAGGGCACTGCTCCCAAGTGCGGTGACTGCGGCATCAAGCTCCCCGGCGTGAGTGCTCCCGAGTGAAATTCTGGCTAGGAAGTGGTCTTCTGTGCGCTTTTTTGGGTGTCCTTCGATCGTCGTACTGTCGAGTCACGAGAGGACAAGTTCGGGAACGGAAAGCGCACATTTGATTGCCTCTTGCCAATTGATAGGAAGATGAGCAGGATCACTGATTACAATGCTTAGATTCCCGCCCTCCGCCCCCGTGAATACTCCCAGATCTCCCGGCCCAAGAAGACCGTCAGCCGTGCCTACGGTGGTTCTCGCTGCGCCGGTTGCGTCAAGGACCGTATCGTCCGTGCTTTCCTGATTGAGGAGCAGAAGATCGTCAAGAAGGTCCTCAAGGAGTCTCAGGAGAAGGCCGCTGGCAAGCGCTAAACGGATTACGTTTTGTTCTCGGTGTTGGTCTTTTTTAAAGTGGGAAGCGAATGATATGGAAAAATCCAGCCGAGTACGGTTCTCTTAGAGATAAAAGATGAACAGACACGGCTAGCATGCGAACCTTGTATGGTCGTGGCTATCAATGAAATTTCATTTTCACCATGAGTTATCAGCTCTCCCTGTCACTGTGTTGATCTGTCCAGAGGGAATACACGAGAGATCCAGCGATGAAATAATGATCACGCTCATCAGAGAACCATTTCCACTCTGTCCGGATTCGTAGCTTTCCACTTCTGCAGGCCGACCTCGTTTGAATATAACGTAGTTGCGATTACTCGTTGGTCATTAAGAAACCGTTTCCTTTACCTTACGACTCTCAAGTCATCTGTTCAGGGTTCAGATAAGATTTTCGATGGTCATGCTTGAATAGTCATGGCAGGTTGCCAGCGTCTTCCGATGTGGTGGAGCCTGAATCGTCAGGCATCAATTGCTGTTGAAAAGTATGCTGGAGCAAGATGCAACGTACTTGCAATTTCTACTCAAAGGAGAAGAAGACTTCATGGACCCAGTCAAAATATTGAATATTGTCTGAAAAAAAAATTAAATTTACACAGCAATGACATTTAGAAAAAGCATAGGTGTGTGGAAACGAGAGTCGGGCACGATAATATATTTCCAGAAGAGGGTGGCTGCCCGTACATGTACTAGGAGTACCGCCGTGCTACATCGGCAAAACGCGAAAGGAAGGACCAGATTCTTCACGGCAGAAGTAACAATACCCTTCTCAGAGAGCGCACAGATGGAAGAATGATGTCGATGTCGGAGCTCCCTCCTCGTGATCAATAATACAAGTCTACCCATTACTATCACAATTCGGCAAGGCAACTATCAACCTGGTAGATTGCTCTTTTTCATCCTATCAATCCGTAAGAATATGAAACTATATACGGGATGTGGATCATATCGTACATATACATGCATCCTTGAATCCATCACTAAACAAATCCCGTCGATGTATTTTTGGCAATATCCCTTTTTTATCCACATCAAAGTGTCCTCAGTTACCGAGACCGGGTGAATCCTGGTCGGTTATTAGGACGGCATGCAGCGAGCTAGTACATAGCTGAGGGTCTAACAAGGTGTTCCACGGTTGTGAAATCGACTGCTGTGGTGTAGATCTTGGGGGATCTGGCTGGAGCCCCGTCAGCATGAGTCTCAGTCATGCATCTATCGTTTGAGGCTTTACGCCTCCACTAATCGGCATTTCTAAGGATTTATTTCGGACAGAAAAAAGAAGCTGTGCTGTAAGTCCGCCGTCCGTGGGACCTACTCCGTAGTACTCTAACAGCAGATAGAGTTCTGTCACTGAAGGCTGATCGACAGAGGAATGTCACCTGTCAATTATGTAACCAGCCATGGAAAGATCACACATGTATACCTTTTCGTCTCAGACACATATGCACATTGCTGTACAGATTACACTGCTGTAGGCTTCCTATGGAAACGGTGTGGATGTCACTCAGCTATCAGCCCCTTCTTCTCGCGCTCCAGGTACCCGCGATTCTCGTGAGAACCTTGTCTTGGGTACGAGACCGGTCGTCAACCGGACTGGTGATGGTTGAAACCAGCTATACATGCCTGCTGATGCCCCGAGGGATCTATAATAGCATCCACATAAGCAGATCCCCGTGCAGGATGTAGAAAGAAGGTCATATGCTCGGGGGATGGCGGAAATGGGGTTGCGTCCCCGATTGACCTGTAAACATTAGCAACAATTCTCTGCAACTGCAAAAGGGGTGAGAAATAACTACGCACCGAATATAACCTAGTCTAGAGGCTGATACGGGGTCTGCTATTTCGGAAATGAATCCCTGCTGTGACAACCCCGGGCGTTTAAGATCCGGTGAGGACAGGCGGAAAGGGAATTCAGGCAACCCGGTCATAATTGTGAAGGCAACGGGCTAGTCCGAAGTGGAATCATGTTCTATTCTTTGATGAACATCATGCACCATGAGGAATATCCCATAAGCCCCAGTAACGTAAAGCAGGGAAAACAATAATAAACCACATGATGCACAACAAAGAAAGAGACGAAGACAGCGGTCTCCTTTACTCTTTTCACCTTGGATCTCCGATCATGGCGCTAAGCCATGATGCTAGTTCATGGAGAAGTAGAAGTCATCAAGCAATTAAGAGTCGATCACCATACGGAGTATGCAGCCAGCCAACAGAAGGGTGATGAGAAAGCGGCGTTTTGATCATTATCCGTTTCTGTAGTTGTAGGACAATGGCTGGGCTAGGGCTGTAACTCGGCCCCTTAGACTACGTCCAGGTAGCTTAGAGTCCGGAGCGGGCCGCTATTTTTATAGACAATGTTCTTTTGGCTTTTCTTTAAAGCTTTGAAAGCATGAAGTAAGTGATTACTCATGGACATATGGATCGATTCACTTTGCTGAGTTTGACAGTGGAGTCCATGTCGCAAGTTCCTGCAGGAAAAAGCAGTCCAACTCACAGATAAGTAGAGGGATACTGTAATTACTTGAGGAGGAGCGTGTCATCATACCTGAGACCTTGATTCTCATTGTCAGATGTTAATGACCTTGATCAGCGACCCACGCCAGGGATCTGACGTGGATGCTCATCTCAACCTCCTTTATCCGGTACAATCCACGCCAGAAGAAAAACGGACATTGTACTCGAACCATCGAATAACAGAGCACACGAGAAATGAAACCCGTCGAATCAAGTCCTGAGCCACACAGAATCCACAGCGGCCACTCCGTCTGGCGCTGTCATTGCGCGCCATTAGGCTTGGCTGCATTACAGTGGCAGATTGACATCCACGAAGTCGACTGAGATAGTGAGAGTAAGGAGCTACATCCCAGTTCGGATCGGATGTGACAGGCTGACAGCATTTACATACATGAGACGGCAGACTCCTAACATCTAACATATGTAGACTCTATCTCTCTCTCTCTCTGGATACCTGTCGGTTAGGCATTTGTATGGTACTTTTGATAGCCTTCTAGCAGAGTTTAATTTTCTGCGCTAAAACGCCAATGGTAGGTGCTTAGAGCATTAGGGTCATCTAGCGCGCTGGAGATATTCGGTTTTCTGGAGAGATGACTCGCCAGCTCTCCATGTCGCTTCGATCAGACGAACAAGATGACAACGCAGTCTCTTCTCGTCTCGTCTGTCTCCGGCGTAATGAGGGATCGTCCAACTGTCAATCGACACCACCGCCCCAGGGACCTTTACTTACACATTCCACATACACCATACATACAACATGCACACACCCTTGAAGACGCCGCCTTAGCTCCCTGTCATAATCAACGAGATGCCTTGCGTAGGTAATCACAAGGCAGAAACACCACCAGTCCCCGACTGTCTGGCTGAAAAATGAGCTCGAGGTCGGCTGAATCTTCCGCCGAATGGATCGTTTCGGATCGTTTCTGCCTCGTCCTATCTGCATGTATTATGTCGGCATGTTTTTGTGTTCTGACTCGTGTAGATGAACGATCTATACGGAGTACGGAGGGCATCGGGCAGCATCCTCCGTCCTCAATGACGCGAGTCCTACGACAAACTGACATGGATGCTGAGAGTCTGTTCGGAACTGGCATTACCCTATCATTATCATCACCATCATCGTCGCGTCAGAGTCTGCAACTATGTCCACATGATCGACGTTAAATAGAGAGACAAATCAAATCAGTCTGGAGAGGTAATAAGACAAGGACGTAACAAATACAAAATCTTCGACGCCCCGCCAGGAACTTTTTTTGCTGTTACTAAGCCAAAAATGAAAAGAGATGAGCAAAAAGCAAAAAGCATCGACATGAATTCATGAACAAATGCTGGCTGGGACTGAAAATAATCAGCTACAGTACAAGTTTAGTTTATGCAAGTCAATTATCAGAGCACTAGCCCTGGTGTCTCGAAAATCTGTTTGACTGCGGCCCACTCTTTCCTCTCAATACTCCAGAAATTGTCATACACTGAGATGAAGATCTGATGAGGGTTCCGGGCCGGTCCACCAGCCATCATTATTAACTGTAGGTAATCAATGGGGAGCGAATAGACTCCACAGCAACCTCCAATCCCGCTTTCATATGCAAAACAATACTCGTCGCTAGGCCCCGCCATGTCATAGAACATAGGGGTACAGGGAGGGGGCCTCCGTGCAGCCAATAACGCTACCCAAATTGTACTGTTCCGCTGACGGTCGATGCATCAGCGTGGCCGGACCGGACGCACGGGTTGGTGACACTGTCGCCACAGAAGTAGCTGCGCGAAGGTACGGAGGGCGATTCACCATCTGTGACGGTAGCTGCTGCTGCAGCTGCAGAGGGGCGGGATGCAGATACAGTCGTTCCCTTTGTGCAGCGTCCTGCTGGTCTCCTGTCGTCAAAAACATCTGGCCGCGATACTTGGCTGCAATCTTGTTCGCCTTCCCTCCTTTGGCCCCAGATCGTTGGCGCTGGGGAGCCGGCGGATCCGAGCCCAAAGGCCTCTTATGATTCGCTTGCTTCCTGTACCGGGTAGTCGACTGGATGCCTTTCCTGTATGCCTCGTCCGTGAGGCGCCAGTAGTTCACGGCCTTTTTACCATTGGGAGATTCTACCCTCACGGCTTCAAACCCCTGCGAGCCATGTCAGATCTTAGCACGCATCTCCAACAGAGATCAAAACAAAGAAAAGGTAAACCATGGAGATCTGTGGGATTACATACCGCATTCATTGAGAGATTGTGCCGGATACTGTTCTGCCATCCCTTTGAGCGTTGATCTCTCCCTTTGCTTGTATTTTGCTCGAACCAGCTGTAGATCTCTTGAAGTGTACGCTTCCTGTCAGGAGCGGTCTTCAGAGCTTCCGCGATTAAATGAGAATAGGGAAGGTCTGTGGGGCCACTGTCATCTGGAAGTGAATTCTTTTCTGCGTCATTGCGCTCGATTTCTCTCTCAACTTCTGTTCTCTCCCGATTGACATGCGAAGACGTAGCTGACCTTGTTTCAGGAGACGGTGTGGTATGCATAGTCTCAGACTGTTGTGGAAAGTGTTCAGCGGCTGGTGAAGGCGTAAGGTAGATCTGAGAATCCGGGCCATTGCGACCGTCGCCCTCTACTCCATGAACCCAGTCCGACGAACTTTCAGTCGCACGAGCGTATCCCAATGGAATTTCTGCATGGTCCGGTCTGGAGTAGGGCGCCATCGCAAGAGACGTCCCTTCATCACAGTATGGAAATAGATAAAGATTTCCATCTTTTGGAGCTTCCAGCGGCGAAGTAGAAGCACTGAGGGGATAAACCTGGGTCGTACTGAGCGCCCATGGGTCAGGAAAAGTGAGTGCTGTCTCCAGGGTATCTGGGCTGCTTGAACTTGAATTCACCCACACTATCGAGCAGGGATTGGAATTATCAGGATTCTCTGCTAAAGAGCCATCAGACGAGGGGGATGATGATTGCGACAGGTTTGAAGAGTAATGACGATAAGCTCCCTGGTCAGAGTAGTTTGCGGGTAAATTGTAGGAGGGAATGGAGTGAACCATATTGTCTGCTCTCAAGGACAAACTAATGTCAATCACAGGCTGTTTTGAAACTCCACACAACCTGGTTGAACTGACATCAGAGGATAATATCCGCAGAGAAGAGATAATAGTAATAGAGTTTAATAAGGTGTAAGACTGGCTCACGAGAGAGAGAAAGATCAAGCGCACTGATGAGGGGATGGCCCCGTTAGATACAGGGAAGAGTAGACCAGAATTATGGAGAGTAAATGCGAAAATAAAGAGATAGAAGCCAGAAAGAGCCCCAGAAATTGACAGGTATTCCAAAGACAAAGAAAAAAGAAAAAGAAAAAGAAAAAAGAAAGAAAAAGCGGGACCACTGAGCAAGAGAGACGATGCACCAGGTCATTCAAGGTGAACTATCATGAGGTAAAAGCGTAGAGTGCCAGCTCATACCTAAACTTGACGTCCTTCCTTCTTGTCGCCTTTTCTGCTGCGGACTACCCGACAGATTCATGCACACCTGGCCCCAACGAACAAGGGGGAAAGTGTATGAGACGTAGGGGGACTAGTTTTTGGCCGTCATGCGTCTTGAGTGTGGTAGACTCATACAGTGGTTGTGCTTCAATCCATTGCTTCTACAGGAAATGCTTTCCCAGGCTCTGGAACAGGGATCCAGTGTCGGGACGCAACTGATGACCCTCCATGACTGTGGAGAGACTGGATCTGGTACTACAGAGGGCTGCAACGGGTCAATTAGTGAGCTTTTTACAAGCTAGGCCGACCGGGATTAGCTTAGAGCTCGCGGATAGCGGACGCCTGCAGAGAGTCTTGCTATGGTCCATTATATAGTACATGGAACAACCCGAAAATGGAACTATGAGAGCACGGTAAAAGAAAAAGAAAGAGATACAGGACACAGGCCTTTCTGGAATCGATATTGTCACAGGGTCTTGAGGAACCCAAAGTGCTTCTCTTTCAATCCATCCTGCAGATACTCAAGCAAATCCCCTGTTCCCCGTCCAGCCGGAAGCCGTCAAACGGCCTGCAGGTGGCATAAGGTGTCACATAGCCGCCGCTTCACCACAACCCTCTCAGTTTCAATTCGGTGGCGACGATCCGAAATGCGATAAGGTGCCAAGGATGCGTTGCAGGCTCCCACGTGATTTCATCAACATCGCTCAAAGTGAAAAAATACTCACGCATCTTAAGCGTTGCCCCCAAAAGGAGGAAAGGGAAGAAGAAGTGCAATACTTGAAAGGGGTTGCAGATGAGGTGGATTCAAGCATCAGATAGTGATCTCCCGCACGTGGAACCTCTCATATGCGAGTGCGATCATAGAACCGGAGTCAGACCCTAGTTGACATCTCCGCAAGGCAAGGTAAGTTCGTATGACACGTCTTAGCCCTTTCCCTAAGGCACCTTAAAGTCACCGTGGTCGGCCGTCCTGAGATCCAGTGAAGAAGCGGACGGTTAGTATTTCCCGACCAATCATAGAACAGGATTGTCTCTCGCGGCACATTGCCCTGAACCGAAATATTCGCTAGTATGGAATCTGCCTGATCCGAGGTACGTAGTTATTGGGACATTGAAAGCACTCGAGTGACCACACCCAGACCGCCCAAGAGATATAATCGGTGAGATCGTTCGATCGGTAAGCCGGCGTTGACGCTTCACTTCCTGTAGTAGATCTATAACAAATTAGTATCTCTGTCCTGACAAGCAACTGCGACCCAAGTTAGGAAATTGGGCGGAAAGCTTACTCGCTTGAACTGAAAATGAAGTTGTAGAATTCCCTTCGGATGTCAGTACTAGTAAGTGCAATAGGAGGGGCCCCAGGACATACCTTGTCAAACGTGCTTTTAAATCCTCTCTCTCTCTTGGCGCTATAGTCCCACTCTTTGTCTACGATCCGAAATGCGATATCTTCGTACGGGGGTCCAGCCATGAATCGAATAAGGCACGTATCCTCTTCGCCAGCCGCGGCAAACGATTGTCCGCGTTTCCGTCCATGCTCGCGTTCAATGCGGTACGTAGGGGCTTTTGTTTTATCGATAAGATCGGGGTAGAAAATGTTGAACTTGTAGCCCTGGACAACTTTTGGTGGCGGATTGTCATGATCATAGTGCGTCTGGTTGTATTTGTTCCACTCATACCCCATTTGCACCCGGTTGAAGTACCGCGGCTTGCGAGGTCGGTACTTGCTGGCCCACTGCGGTTGCGCACCCGTGCTGACAGATTCCTCGCCCGTAAAGATCTCCTCGTTTTCACTGACTCCTTTAGCAAGTTCTCTCTCGTAAAGAGCTTTCGTCGCTTGCGAGAAATCCTCATTGGGAATCGATGAGAAGCGGGTGGATGCTGTCGCAGCAGACATGTTCGTTGTCTGGCTTGCGGAAGCTGCAGAGGGTCTCTCCGTCTGCCGCTGACGAAGGGGAACAAAGCCCATCTTTAGAATCTTTTGTCGCTCGCGAGCCTTCAAGCGTAGTCAGCAACAAACTGGGACCACAGATACAAGAGCAAGGGCAACTTACGACTTGATCGAGAAAAGCCCCTTCATCCAATATTTCCGACCCTTTATCCTCTGGACGAATCTGGAGCAACGGTTCGGGATCTAGCTCACGGATTTCTTTCTCACTAAGCTGTTGACGTCGTTCCTGATAGGTCTGAATGATGGGCGCAAGAGGAGCGAGCTTCGTTCGGATAGATTCAGCCTCTTCATATTGTTGTTTGCGCAACCCTCTGACACGCTCATCGATCACGGCTTGGTAGACCTTCTTCACCTTAGCGCGAGCTTTCCACACCGTCAGGCTGCGCAAAAGTTCCTCCCAATAATCGGTGTCGATAGGCTCATTAGAGTCCAGCTTTTTCCTGACCTGCACCTCAAGGGTCTCGAGTTGCTCGTATGTTTTCGGGCTCAAGAGTCGGTTGATGTCGGCGGCAACGGAGCTGAGGGCACGTCCTTCGGGGGCAGTCGTTTTCTGGCGATCTCGACAGATAACCTTCATTGTCTGAATGGAGGCGCGAGATTAGTCTCGAGCGAACGAGAGCAAGACGCAAATAAGACTTACTTTCCAAAAATCCCTATTCTGTGAGTTCTTCTCTAAGCTCAGGAATGTATCGATATCCTTCTCCAAGTCAAGTAATTGACTCTGAGATAACCCTTCGAAAACGCCATCAGGGTCCACCAGATCCAGCTCTGAGTCCGCAATCTCATCGTCAAGAGGATTCCGCGTTGGATCAATAACTCGTAGAGTAACCGTAAGCCAATCTATTGGTTTCGCACGACCCTCTTTGACGCGGATCTCGGCCTTCTTTTTCGCTTGCTTGAGAACAAACATGTCCTCCTGCGCCACCCATTCACGCAATTGCTCGTCCTCCTGTAACTGATTGAGACGCACCTGGTCTCGCATGTTCCTTACCGGCGGCTGCGATGATCGACTGTTTCCATCCTCCCATTTTCTACCGTCCCGCTGTCGGTCTCTCTCGTCGTATTTGCGGTGATATTTCTGGGGCTGGCGCCACGATGAAGGGGAGCGAGAGCGGCTTCGCTTAGAGCCTGTTCTGTCAGGCAGTCGCGACGACATCCTCGTGGTTCGATCGCCTGGGATTGTTAAGGAGACTTTCAGTCGCAGCAGTTGTTTTTGTTGAACATCGCGATGGCCGTCACTTTGGAAGATCCGCGAATAGTCTGGAGAAGCTTCCGGGGTGGAAGGTTAACCGAGCGGCAGAGTTTCCGCAGTTCGGCACGTGCTCCGCTCCGCCATCACGTCGAATACAGCTGGGAGTGCTGCCTGGGATGATAATAGTCACTTACATCTACTCAGTAAGAGATTTTGATGATGACCTCGAAATGGAGGAGACTTCATCTTCCAAGGCAGGATGGGTTGCCTCCTCTTCTTTTAAGATACTCCAGAACACTAGATAGTTACGATGTTTACATGACTGACCTTTCCAATATCTGGACCGAGCATATGAGTCGCCAGGACATTCTCAACAGAGCTGATGAAGATGCTACTACGATTGACCCGAGCGAAGACCCAGAACAGTTCAAAGTGCTTCTTGGAAAGATAGGTGAAGCTCTAAGTGGCGAATCTGGCTGTACTGCATCGCTAGAAAATGGATTGCGAGACGATTCTATGAAATTGACAGTATCAACAAAGCTTCCTGCACCGTTGAGACCTTTAATATGGACTATTTACTTTTCAAAGGAACCGCAATCTTCTGCATCTCAGCATCTTATACTCCCATTACTTCGAGCAGAAGCCGGGTGGGAGTCGCGCCAGCGAACTCTCCTTGACCATCTTAGTAAGAAAGATTGGGTACTAGGAAAGCTTTTCGATAAGATCGAGAGCATGGGCATCGATTTGAGCACCATATTTCCTGGAATTGCTGGGCTGCGGAAAGCTCACGGGGATACGTTACTCTCCCACGCTGCCAATTACATCAAAGGAGTGGCGCCTTTTGTTGAACAAGAATGGCTTGACGAAGTCGCCCAATCGTCGCCTGATTCAGTTGTTGCTGCCAACCTTCTAGCGGAAGTGTCTGGATCCGGAGAGACCAGAGAGATAGAGAGACTCGGCCCACCCCCAGACAGCTGGTGGGTGAAGCTCTCAGCAACCAGAGCTAGCCCCAGAGCGCCTCCAAAGCGTGGAGAAGCCACAAACACCGCGGAGAAAAAGCCCACAAAGCCTGTTTCAAAAATGGACACGGACACAGACAACGATAATCTCGACGATGACGATGAGTTTGAGGTACGAGTGCAACCCTTAGGTATCCCTGTACTTGTTTTAATGCTATTGCATCAGCGACAAGAAACACCACCCAGGCTCAAAAAAGCCAAGGAACCTGAACGACAATCACCCGCTACCACCGCTACCACCACTGGAACCGACGGTGAGACAGATCATGAACATGGACCCACGAAACGAAGATCATCCTCGACACAGAAGCCTCCAGCAAAGAAATCAAAAGGACTGGGTATCATAGGCGGTAAAAAGAAGATCAAGGAGAAGTCTCCAACACCGCCACCGCCCTCTCCACCACGAGATCTCGCATCCCATGAGCACCACGAGGCAACGGACTCGGGTACCGACCACGATGCTCAGCCCTCACCATCTCCTGCTCGAACACCAACCACTCCCAAACCCAGCGCAAGTACAACCACTGCCCCGAAACCGCGCGGGCTAGGCGTCATCGGAGGCAAGAAGAAAGAACCACCACAACAACAAATTCCTCGGCCTTCCCTCTCCCCGGAATCGCAAGAAGCCGTCGCCGCAGAGCCCAAGCAAAAAGGAGCTGGCAAGCTGGGTATGATCGGAGGTAAAGCCCGCAAGACCACTGAGGTTCCCCCAGCTGCCTCCTCCCAGACTCGGGCCGAGACCGCGACACCGCCGCCTCCAGCAAAGTTCGAGAGCGACGAGGTTTCCCGACGAGTTGCTTTAAAGCGATCCCCTTCGCCAGTGAAACCACCGCCACAGGAGACGGAGCAGGAGCGCGCTGACCGCAAACGAGAGGAACTGAAAAGGCAGCTTGAGGCGAAGAGCAAGGCTCCGGCGAAGAAGAAAAGAAGATTCTAAGCTAGCTTTGGGGTTGCCTATAAGAGAATGTGTTGTGGATATTTCAAGGTACTTGTGGTTCTAGAGCGCTTTGGATCGCATTTTGGATATCATGTTCTGTTCAGCATTTGATCCGTCTATCTTCTTTCGCCGGAACCAAGACGCTGCGTCTAGTCATCTATCACGACCCCTTAGCCATCAAACCAATAACCTGAGTCCCACGAGTGAACATAATAGAAGTTCTCTATACTTGTATGCAGTAAGTCATGAAAACACAAGGGGTACACGCCAGATGTTGTCAGATGTTGACTCCGCTACTGCCCCCGATGCTCGCCCGCGACGGACCACTTCGTCGCTTGCCTTGCTCGCTCGGCGTCACCAATCGTACTTTCTTAGGTGACATCATGCCAGACGAGGACGCTGCCCCCGTCCCGGTGGACGCGGGTGAAACAGTGCTTCCGCCTGATGCGGCAACACCGAGCATACCACGGACCTTTTCGACCGCTTTACTCTCGCCTTTTGCCCACGGATCGCGTTTGACGAACCCCAATCCGGCTTTTCTGCTAGCAGCGTCTCGCTTTCTCGATTCGTCCTGCAAAACGGCGCGATTGAACTGACGGCGTGGTCCCGGTCCACAGTCGTGCATACAGCCAGGGGTTGCGCAACCCCCTTCACTGACGGAAGGGTCGCTCAACCACGTGGTAATACAAGCCATGTGGCCTCCGTGGCCGCAACCCTGACACCATGTCCAGAGACTGGAACCCATTGGTCGAGGAACGGTGTAATCACCCAGCCATGCACCATCCAAACGCTGCAGCTCAGAGGGAGGGATCTGCTCCGTCTTGAGTGATGATCGCGGTGAGGATAGCAAATGCGAGGTAGCTTCGGAGTGCTCTTCGGAGTCGGCGAAGGATGAGATCTGTTCTGTAATCCAGTAGGCCGGTGGGTCAACGCTCATGCAAATGGCACAAGGTTCTTGCGGGGTGTCGCATTGATAACAGCGACGGTTATCCTGTCTCGGGTTCTCGTATGGTCGCTTGCATGTGAAGCAGAACACATTTATGAAAGTATTTGTCTGGGCATACTCATACACCGCTGGATAGGATGGTACACACAGAAGTCGAAGCTCGGCAGCCTCCAGGTACATCGACTGGCGTACGAGGTGCTCATGGTAGGTTTTGAAGATGAGCTCACACTCCTCCCTTGGGAGAAGTTGCTCACATTCCTGGAAGAGTACGCGTAGTTTTTGAAGTAGGTGGGCGGCAGACTGTATGTCGACATGGGTGCTGCTGTGATTATACCTGATCGCTTCTTTCAGCAGTATCTCTGGCCCCCAAGGCTTGTTTCCGCTCAGGTCGGGGCTGAAAGGGATAACGACTTCGGAAAGGTCCTCCGTCGACTCAGGTATAGATCGAAAATCAGGTGCATTCTTGGCCAATGTTGAGCTGTCCTTAGGAATCTGCACGGGGCTAGACTCCGTTAGAAGTTGCGGAGGGCTCGAAGGACGTTCCAGATGAACACGGCTAGCATCAATAACACTTTCTTGAAAGACTCCGTCATCCTGAAGTGCCTGTTCGTTCAATATGGAGGTGTGAGCAAGCTCTGGATTCTCATGCTCGTGAGTATAGTCCTCAATGACAGATTCATCCGTTTCAGCAATCTTCGAGCTATCGTACAGTCTTGCCGCAGAGGAAAACGATGTAGCCAGTGATTTGGAAGGGTGTGAGCTTCCTGTAGATTCTGAGAACATCGGAAAGCTCTCCGAGGATTCATGTCGATGGAAAGACGGTGGCCTTGGGGGCTCGATATGGGACTCGAGCGATAGGACCTTCTTAGGAAAGAGCTTGTAATCACGAATCGCTGCCCTCTTGTCCTCCATTTTCTGGTCAAACTCGTCTTCTGACGCTCCTTTGACATAATCCGGGTGATTTCGAACACGCCAGTCGGCCTGACGATTAATGGCCCGCGGAGCTGATCTTTGGTCACTTTCCGGACTTTGAATGGCCGATGTTCCAACAAGGTCTCGTGGCGGGTTTTCGAACGAACCGAGAGAACTATCGCCTGCATCTGACTGGCGTTTTTCAAATTGCGGTATGGAATGGGGTTCGACATCTGACATTGACGACCAACCGTTTGAATTCATCGTGTTCATGGTGCCATGGTTAGAGCTCAAGACAGAGGGCGGTAAGGGCTCAATATCTGTAGCGTCATCGTTCAAAGAGGTCATTTGCGAGTGCGGACTACGCAGTGACTCGACGGGTGAGTCCAGTAAAGGTCTTGCGAGAGGTGTGGTGATGTTTGACGAGCTTTCAATTTCTGTTGTGGTATGCTTTGATGCATCTGTCTCCATTACCCCTCTGAACAAGCGGTTTTTCAATCTGTCAGTCCTCCTATCTTCCAGGGCGGGAGGTCGCTCGGCATGTTGCCCCTCTTTTGAGAGCTTTTTCTTGACATTGCGTGAGCCTCTTTCCGGGGCCTGTCGTTGCGCCCTGGCCCTGGATTCAAGCTCCTGAATAACAGCAAACTTGACTATCCTCCAAGTCTGAGCTAGCTTGGGCAGCGACACATCCTCTGCGCGCTCTGAATTTTGGGTCAACGAGTCCAACAAGGCGCGAAGTAAGTCAGCATGCTTGCGGCTATCTTCGGGAGCTTCGAGTAAGGGAGAATAGTGGCGAGCGAGGAATCGAAAGACCACAGGATCCGAAGTGGCTCCGGGAACGCTACCCACTACACCGAGCTGGCGTGGCCCAGGTGGAGGGATCTTGGATAGCGTCTCTCCCAACGGAAGGACGGAAGGATTTTCGGGAGCCCCCGGCGGAGTACTGCTCAACGATTTAGAAGGACGAGTGCTACTGGGCTTACCGGGTCGAGCGCGAATGGAGATAAACGAAGGTTCATCAAGGACGTCTTCCGTCGGACTCTGGCCCAAAGGTTCTCCACTACTGTGCTCCATCTCTAGACGATCTGTGAAGTCAGTGGCACTGAGACCCATTATACTTCGCCGAGCTCGTTTCTGAGCGAAAGCAAGCACCTCTCCATTAGGGCTCCAAGCGACGGCGCACGTGGGCCGCTGATGGATCACATGCGGAGCATAACGAATGTCGGTCTGTGTGAAAGCACCGGTTTCGCCTACTGTCCACAAAAGATCCTTGGAATGCCAGAGCAGGTCTGAAGCGTGAGCATCATACCGATCGAATTCCCGGAAGGGGATATGCGGTCGTCGAAGGTCCCAGAGGTGAACGCGTGGATCTTCTTTGTCGTACGACGTGACAACCTGGCAAGACTGCCAATCGCCGGATTCCTTATCTGTGGAAGGGGGGCGCCATCGCACATTGAGGACGGCCTGGGGTGTCCTGAACTGGAAAGTAGGCTTTTGTCTCCGCTCAGCAGTCGAGGAGAAGTCCCAGACTTTGACCTGCCTGTCTGTGCCGCCACTAACAACATGTTGTCCATCCGGGTGCCAATCTACTGAAAAACACGGTCTATCATGAGCAGTAATCCTCATTAAGGGAGCACTGTTTTTCCGCGAGTCCCACAGTTGAATCGCACCGCTATCCGTAGCAGTCGCAAACACGAAACGGTCGCTCGGTGACCATCTGATGTCACGGACGGCGTCGCTGTTGCCAATGTACTGTTCCTTACTCCCGCACATAGACACTCCACGCTCGGCGGACGCTGTCCGCAAGTCCCACATCCGGATGGTAGAATCCTGACTCCCCGACAGAAGTAACGCCGGAGCGTAAGGATTGAAAGCTAGCCGATGAACCTGACGGCTATGTCCTTGGAAGCGGCAAAATTCCAAGCCAGTTCGATTGAGATCATACACGACAATGCGACCATTAGCAACAGCGGTGGCGATGGTTCGGTCATAATTGCCATGTGACCATTTTACGTCCCTGACGGTCAGCTGGTCCTTGTGCCGCGCGGAAAGTCCACTCCCACCATGATGCGTGGAGGAGTAACTGATGATAGCATTGCGAAGATTGAATTCCTCAGACAGACTGTCGGGGGAGACGCGAATAGTCTTCAAGATTTCCTTCCCACCAATGACGGCGTGCGTCCGTTGCGGGGAGATGTCTAGGGCGGCTATGGGGATACCGGTCTTATGTGTAACAGTTTGAGATGCTCCAGGTCTAGAACTGACGTTAGTTCGATTGTTCCTAAGAGGCTTGAACTCAAGCTCTATGCCAGCGGTAGCCTAACAGGCGGTGGAGTAGTGAGAGTGAAGCCAAGCAAGGGAAGTAGGTGTGACAATGATAAAATTAGAATGATAGGAACCCAAACCGAAGAAGGAAAAGAAAGCCGTACAATGACTTGGACCTGGTTGAGCGGGGACCAGCAGACAGGTCTGCACGACCCGTTGAAGTGTGCGGGCTGGGGGGCCGAGACCCAGAGAAAAAAGGCTGGGCAAATCTTGCTAGAGCATTGGCCGCTCGATGGGAGTATTTTTGGCCTTGATGCACAGGCACAGGAGGAGGGGGAGGGGGAGGAGCTGGAGATTGATGTGAAGTAGAAGCGTTGCCACGAGTGGGCAGTCGAGTAAGATCGGTCATGGTGGATCAAATGATGCACGACTCAGCATCGAGACAAGGTTAGTCGATTAAGACTCATCCTGATCGAAGCTTCATCCTCGATCATTAGGTAGGTACCCAGCAATAGTCAGATGCACAGCAAAATGCTTACAAAGACTGTAGAACAGACACAGGATGATACAGAGTACGGAGGAGTTAGTCACTTGATGGTCAATAATGGCAGCAATCCATGGATTGTCTGGGGGTGGGGACAGAAAGGGGGAGGCGGAGCCACTGCAGTTGCAAAAAGGTGTGGAATTTGTGTATGCCTTCAAGGTAGAGGAAGCTGGGGATTGGACGTTGAAGGTTACATGTAGGTAGGCTTGGTGTTATTATTATTGGTTGGAACCAGACAGCGGATGACGGAGTAAATGCAGCTCCAAAGGAAACGGACAAGAAGGGGTACTTGGTTGGATGATGTTTGCAAGCTCGATAGAGAGGGGAATGGAT